TGTGTGTGTGTGTGTGTGTGTGTGTGTGTGTGTGTGTGTGTGCATGCCCACGTGCCCATGCACACTCCCACATGTGTGTTCTGAGCACTGGAGAAGCATATTAAAATGTCTTTTGTTTTAAAGATCATTTAACATTTCTATTTGAAAGACCATTTTAGACCTCAGGGCCCTTGAAGTGAAGAGGCGAGTGCTCAGCTAGCAGTGAGTGGTGGGCAGCAGGTATTGCCCTTGCCCACGCTTGTAAATGCAAACACACTTGAGACCCTCAGACGTTTTCCCAGAGGATCGCGGCCAGCAGCCGCTCAGCTGAGTAAGTGAAGTGTCTGGTCCCAGAAGGGAGGAGCAGACAGGAAAAGGCAGGCATAAACAGACCCTCCCCGTGGGAGACCGGTGATGACAGGGCTGCGGTGGGGCAGAAACTCAGGATGCAGTGGGCCTGCCACCCATTGTCTTGGCCGGCTTTCCCTCTCTTGGGGTGGATCAGAGCTCTGACATCAGGCAAAGTCGTCATGAAGTGCAAGGAGTCAAGGCAGGGCCTCCTGACTGCAGCAGCCCCACACCAGCCAGCCGGGTGGCACCCAGTCAGCAGCAGGGACAGAGCCCCTGGGGAATCTCAGGCTCTTGCTTAAACAGTATGTCACCCTCCCTCCCACTCCTGAAGTTACTGCTGAATAAATACAGCTGAGAGCATTTACTCATCGTGTGGGATACACACAGCGCATTTTCACAAAGTCAGCGTCTGAGGACTTGGCTGGGTGAAAACATTTGAGGCTGGAGGCAGAGCGTCGGATGTGGTGATCTGCAGGAGAGAGCTGGGGCAGGGGAGCGGCTGAGGGGGCTTAGGTGCGAGAGGAAGACAGTGCCAACTCAGTGCTTCCCAGATACACCTGCATGTGCTAAGGCTTCATTGCCATCATCACTGTCGCCACCACCACCCCTACCACCACTGATACCTCAGCACCATGAAAATCATCTCTGCTATCATCGTCACCACCATCACTACCACCACCATCACCGGGGCCATCACCATCACCACGATCACCATCACCATCACCTTGACCATCAGCATGACCATCACCATGACCATCACAATCATCACCATGAC